ATAATCCTCCGCCGAGTGACGGTGGATCCACCGATTCCGGCACCGTAGAAATCGGTGAGGTTTCTAATTTCTTTGTGATCGACCTCTAGTTTAATTATAATCATATAATCTGCTCTGTTGCTCTGAATTAATTAGAATGGGTTGACTGCCCTGAGTATAAAGGGAAGAGAGAAGGAGAGGTAATGAATCAAGTGAAAACAGGGGAGAGCAGTTCCAAATTGGTTGGGAAAAAGTGCCGGAACCTTGAGCTTGGGGTTGTAATATAGCAGATGCATTTTTCTAATCAAGGGAACATCTTAATTATCACCATATATTGATGAATTTCTTGTCTTGTTCCTTCTCTTCAGGCCAAAAATATTTTGAAGCAATGGAAGAAGGTTAAGAAGAGTGTGGCGGAGAAAGTGGCATACTCGAGGGCCGAGGCACGTAGCTTTAGGACGGAAATGGAGAAAATGGTGGGTGCTACTAATGAGAAGGAAAAAGAGAGGTTAAATTCGAGAAGGAGAAACGAGATGGATGTCTGCCTGCTATGCTGCTTATATCAGGAACAGAGCACGTCCTTATGGACGCCCTGTTTCCCCCAAGCGGGAACTGCTACATTTAAAGTTCAATGTCGTTTATTCGGCTCTTTCCTACTTTCCCTTCAATTTATCGTGCTGCTTTTGGTGTGCCCTTTTTCTCCCTTTTTCCTTTTAGCTACATGTTGTAAGTTGTGAGGATTTGTCTTCGTGTCAATGTTCAAGTGTTTAGATTAATTTCTCTGCAAATAATCTTATTTGCTTTTCAGAGTGATTGGTTTTGTGCATCTCGTTCTTCTATTTATTGTGAGACATGCCTTTGATAAGGAAGCATCAACTATATATATTCACCACAGTTTTTCTGCCCAATTTTGAATGTATGGGTAACTTTCCAATTAAATGTATGGTTAATCAAGTACAGTAATTAAATTACATATAAAAACAAAAAAAAATTGAAATTAATTTTAACACTCATGCCATTTTGATGTTTTAAATTATATGATTAGTTAAGGGATTAGTATTTATTTGTATTATTACTAAAAAATTATGAGAAAAATTGATATAAAATTATGTTATTTCAATAAAATATCAT